ATTTTTTGTATTTTTAGTAGAGACGGGGTTTCACCATGTTGACCAGGATGGTCTCGATCTCTTGACCTCGTGATCCACCCGCCTCGGCCTCCCAAAGTGCTGGGATTACAAGCTTGAGCCACCGCGCCCGGCCCACGGCAGTCTTAAATTCATTAGTATTTAGCAGCAGATCTCACTTTGAGGTGGACCCTCTGAGGGAATAATTGTATAATCTTCTAAGCCACCATTAAAAGACCAGCAAAGGTCACCAATGTGAAAAATAGAGATGGATAATAAATTAAAATGAGAGTTAAATCTATAGTGTTCCCTGGATGTGCATACTTATTAAAGTATAATAATTTTTTTTATTTTTAGTGAAATTGTGGCTTATGAATGACTTTCTAAGTTGAAAACATTATCCAGGAATAGTTGCCAACTTTCACATATTGGTTCAAAAGCTGTTAAATTTGTCAGTAATCTTTTTTAGTAAAGAGAAGCATAAAAAAAAATACAGGTTAAATATTCCTAATTCAAAATCCAAAATGCTCCAAAATCGTTAACTTCTTGAGTGCAGACATGATGCTTGGAGTGTTTCGGATTTCTGGACTAGGGGTGCTCAACGGGTAAGTATATGGTAACCCAAACATTCAAAAATTCAAAAATGTTCAAAATTCAAGACACTTCTGGCCTCAGGCATTTCAGGTAAGAAATACTCAATCTGTATTTTCTTTCCACTGGAATGATGAAGATCTTTTCTTCCTCTCTTTATTTGGACTTTACTCTGACTAGCTTTTTGGCAAGAAAAAGTTGTATGTAGTAGATAAGGGTAGACGATAAAAGTTGAAACCTGAATTTTCAGCTATCTTTTTAAACAACACTTACAAACACTTAAGATGATCTAATCTATATTGTGTGTGTGTGTGTGTGTGTGTGTGTGTGTGTTTTGTTTTGGTTTGGTTTTTGTTTTGTGAGACAAGGTCTCACTTTGTCTCCCAGGCTGGAATGCAGTGGTGCAATCTCAGCTCACTGCAGCCTGCAGCCTCCACCTCCCAGGTTCAAGCAATTCTCCTGCCTCAGTCTCCCAAGTAGCTGGGATCACAGGTGTGTGCCACCATGACCAGCTAATTTTTGTATTTTTAGTGGAGACAGGGTTTCACCATGTTAACCAGGCTGTCCTGAACTCCTGACGTCAGGTGATCTACCCACCTCGGCCTCCCAAAGCGCTGGGATTAAAGGCATGGGCCACGGTGCCCAGCCCGGTGTATTTTGTAATTGAAATTCTACCTCCTTTTACTCGAAATTGAACTTCATTGCCCCCACCTGAAATTTGAGATCCCCTTTTGCTTTTGCATCCAGAATGTAGAGTATGATTGTAGTACAACAAAAATAAAGTTTATAACTTGATCATTTATCAGATGGAAGCTTCCCTGGACAAAGGAGCATTGATAGATCCAACATAAACACTATTTCCACTATTGAATACATTTTCATTCAAAGAAGAGCTGTGTATCAGTCATAACATGTACCCAGCTATGGAGTCTTACAGGCAATTTTCTATCCTCTCTGAGCCATGCTTTCCTGCCTCTCCTCTCTCAGTTAAAGTTCATCTTTCCAAATATTTTGAATATGCTATCTTATGTATCGTTTAAACATTAAGCCTCCAAAATTAAAATGCTCCTTCTTAATATATGAGTTTGCTTAATGTAATCTTCACCATAGTTTATATAACCAAAATTGAAAGTTGGTTCCTGGGCACTTACCGTTGCTAAATATTTATTTGGTCCAGGCTAGCATGAGGACAACCATAAATGCAAGTCAAATCCATTCTTTAGATTTTAGAGACTTGGTTAAAAAAAGAAAGACGATTAAACTCACCTAGAGCTTTATGTTGAGAGATTGAGTCCTGCTGAGTGACCTTGAGTTTTAAGATTTCATCTCTCCCAAAAATGTCCAGCAATTCTTTTTTTCTCCCTTAAATTAATAAGCAAAATTGACTGAACCTATGGAGATGTAAACCTGCCCTTCCTTGACACAGCCTTTCCATTTATTGGATGTCTTTAAGCATGGTTTGAATTTGCCTTCTAACCTAATTTGTCTTTGGATACCAAAACACAAATTCTGCTCTGTCTTTCTCAAAATAGATGAAAAATCCCAGCAGTACACAGAAACTGGGACTAAAAGGTGGTTTAATATTTACAGTAAAGCTTAATTTGCACATTTTGGACTACTCTAATTCAGGGATTGTCACAATGCAGAGCCACAGTTTACCTTTGCATCACAGCAGAACAAACAGTTTTCTAAGAAGTTACAGTGACCAAGGAAAAGCAAGTAACAAAAATGCAATTTAAAAAACCGATTCGGCCGGGCACAGTGGCTCACACCTATAATCCCAGCACTTTGGAAGGCTGAGGCAGGCAGATCAGTTGAGGTCAAGAGTTCAAGACCAGCCTGACCAGCATGGTGAAACCTTGTCCCTAGTAAATGTACAAAAATTAGCCAGGCGTGGTGGCATGTGCCTATAATCCCAGCTACTCAGGAAGCTGAGGCAGGAGTATCATTTGACCCCAGGAGGTGGAGATTGCAGTGAACCGAGATCTCGCCACTGCACTCCAGCCTGGGCGACAGAGCAAGACTTTGTCTTAGAGGGAAAAAAAAAAAGACTCAGCACCTACTAAATACTATACAAAGCATTATGCTAGTTACTCAGGATACAAAATTAGATAGGAAGTATGGAGTACAATATAAATAGGAAGCAGTCCTTTGCTTTGACAAATTCAATTTTAAAAGTGAATTTTTTTTAATCTAATTATTTTTCTGTTCAAGGAGTCCTTCATCCATCACCACCACTACCCTGTCACCCCCACCAGCATCCTCCCCTTCACCCTGCTGTTGTCACTGTCACTGAGAGTGAGGTTCTCCTCTGTGGACCACAACTAGTTGCCTCCCAAGCTGGTTCAGGGGTTGAAACTTCAGTTTCTTTAACCAGGCACTTGGGACTTGGTACCATTTCACTATGCGGGTGGTGGGAGGCCATGACACTGCTGCAGCCGGAGATGACGAAGAGAGACAGATTGTCAGGAGAACAGTGAAGGTTCAGAGAAGCTTGTAATCGGATTTACTTTTGCTTTTTCCTTTTGGAGAGTGAAAACCCTGTTAACCAATGGGAGCCACCTCACTTCTGTTCACCTCATTATTTTTCACTCTGCTATCTAACCATCATTATTCCACTGGAATCTAGTTACTGTTGTGCTCATGATTCACAGGCCCCTAGAATCTTTTTTGAAGTGTTAGCATTTGCCTAACTTTGTGGTTTTAAGAAGATGACAGTTTTCTGCGGAGCAACATACTGATTTTCAAACTTCCTTTTTTTCACTGTACCTAGAGAAGGAAGATGGTATCTAGATTAAAGCAGCCTGTGGAGGAGTTTCTGAATATAGTACCAAATACAGGTGACATTAGATGTTAAGATATGCTTTCCACTATATATTCCAGTTCATTTGCAAAAAGCAAAAAAAGTAAATAAATTTTTTAGGTATCTGCAACATTAGTATCTCCTACAGGCAAAGACAGGGATTTGTATTTTGCTTTATAAAGATGTAAAACGCTGGCTGATGACCAGGGAGTCCTTGGCTTCCTCAAAGAGGATCCTGAATATGAAGCAAAGAATATAGTACAGTGGCATTTGCACCTGGTAACTGTTTCTGATGAAAGGCTTCTTAAACTTTGTTGGGCCTTGTACATCTTTTTGGAGTCTTGTAAAAGTTACAAAGACTCTCCCTATGAAAATGCACAAATCATATTCACAGAATTTTTAAGTATAATTTCTGGGTCTTAAGACTTCATGGAGC